AAAGGAGGGGACTGGTGCAGATGGGTAGTCTGGAGGGGCAGACAAGAGAGCTGGAATACCTCAGAGGACAGTGAGACGGTGGCCTGTGTAATGGCTGTCTTTTGCGCAGAGTTCCGAGAAGGAACAGCGATGTCTTTCCATTCATTCATTTAATCACTCACTGGGAATTTTCCTGGCCTGCTCTCCAGGAGTAAACCATGCCCGGGAGTAATGCTCAGGTTTGATACACCTTTCAAAAATGCAGGCAAGGAAGAGGACTGAAGTGCCTGCCTGAGGTACATTCCAGTTACACCCAGTATAGGAGCCGCCTAATGGTTAAATCGCTCCTGGCATTTACTTCTTCCCCTCAGAGCAGGCAGCACCCTAGGCTAAGTAAACACCCCGGAATTTCATGCAGCTGACACCCACTAATTCCAGAAATGAAGATCACTCAGGATTTGGGTTTTTAAGAAAAAAACTCTTAGAGGGCTGGCTGGTTAGCTCACTTGGTTACATTGGGGTGTTAATAACACCAAGGTCAAGGGTTCAGATCCCCTTGCTGGCCAGCCACCGAAAGAAAAAAAAAAAAAACCTTTATAAATTGCAAATTATCTTAGAAGACTGTCAACATTCAATCTTGTGGCTGTTACATCTTATTTTCTATAGCATCTTAGTGTGAATCAATTTCTCAAATATTCTTGGAAATAACAGCTTTCTGAGAGCAATTTCTTACAGAATTTAGTTTCAACTAATATTTACTGAATAAGTATTCATAATAAATACATATCAAGCACTGTGCCAGTACTTCATTTATATATCTCATCCAATCAAAACGACCCTACAAAGAATAAATGAGTATCCTCCATCTCTACAGATGAAAAAACTAAGACTCAGAAAAGTTAAGTAATTTGTACAAGGTCACATAGCCAGTAATTGGAGATCCAGAAATGAAGCACAGGGATCCTGACTCAAATTCTAGCATGCTTTCAACTGCTGATCAGACTGATGTGTCTTCTAAAGTCATCAAATTATTTAAAGTAAGACAATCTGTGACCATGTCCAAGGTGTATGAAAAAATTTCTCTAACTCAGTCGGGAGTAGATGGTACTCTGAATGGATGAGATGAATATTTGCATCCCTTTGATAGTTTTGTATTTCATTATAAGTTAGTATTCTAACTTATTCTGGCTTATACCTCTGGGACATCACTCCTGGGGAAAATGACAGATGGAGGTCCTGAACAAACAAAGAAGAAGAGCATGGCCACCCAGATATGGTTTATTTTAAGGACTTTCCTCTGCAATATGGCTTCTTTTGCTTTGCTCTCTGGTCAAAGAGGCTTCTAATTCAGTGTCTGACTGATTTGATCTGTGACACTTTTCCTCCCTGACCTTCCAATATGGGGTCTTAAGCATATATTAAATGTATTTTCTCTTTTAGTTATTCATTTAAAGTTTTTCCTAACAAATGTCTGCATCTTATTTTAGTTCCTTTTTCTAAAATAAAGTGATTTGGTGACAAATGTTTTCTTTTCCTCAGACAAATGTTATATTGTAATCACAAGGCTTACAAATACCACACATGGGGCCAAAGGTGTTAAGAATAACATCCTAGTACTGGATAAAGGGGGGGGGGGGAAGAACTTTCTCACTGCTTCCCGCCTTGGCCGTACAGCAGTCACTGCTTCCACTCTCTTGCTACAATCTATTCTCTATATCAGCAGCCAGAATGATGATTTAAAAACAAATCAGGGGGGAAAAAAATCAAATCATGTCAGCCTCCTGCTCCAAACCATTCATGCTTCCATTCTGCTCCAAACCACTCATGCTTCCATCACATTTAGAATAAAATCCAAAGTTAACACTCCCACAAGTCCTTACACGATTGTTTTATTTCCTACCATACTCTCTTTCCCTCTGCTCCAGTCACACTGCCCTCCCTGAGGTATCTCAATCTGTCACCACTGCAAAATCTTTGTACTACACAGGAGAATGCTTTTCTTCCCAGATATTCACAGCTCCTGCCCTCATTTTAACAAAGGTTCTGTTAAAATATCACCTCTGAAAGGTTTTCTCAGATCAACTTACCCTGTCATTCTCTCCTTTCCTTGTTTTATTTCTCTCCATAGCACTTGTTACTACCTAACATTATGTTGCTTGTTTACTTAGTGTAAGCTCAACAAGGACTTTGCGCTGTTTACCTCTCTATCCCAAGCATCAATAATACGTCTGACACACAGCAGGTAATCAGTAAACATCTGTAAATAAATGAATGTTGAATCCTTCCCTCTCCCTCCTGCCCTCTTCTTGGGACACAGAACCAGAAGGTTCACCTGTAAATGCCAGCCAGGGACCTGATGTAAGTATAAACACCA